CAAGGTCTAGGGGGGGGAAGGGACAAATGTTTGAGGCACCCACCTGGTGCAGCTCCCAGGGTGGGGAGGTGCAGGTGGCTCTGCATCGCCTTGCACTTACAGGCACCACCCCCCTGCTGCGCCCATTGGCTGTGCTTACCAGCCAATGGGAGCAATGGGGATAGAAAGCAGGGGCAATGTAGGAGCATAAGGGGTCACATGCCTCAAATACCGAGGGTGGGAAGGGCTGGCAGGTCGGCCAGCCTGAGGAAGGGTGTCCAGCTCTCCACGTTCACTGCCGGTGCATGAAACAGAACAAGATGGCCCCAGATGCTTTGCTCTCCCAGCACACTGCTCCAGGGAAGAAGGCAGGATTGTCCCACACTTTCCAGCAGAAAATGGATGTAGTTGGGAGAGAAAAGCAGCTGGGGCTACCTTGTTCCACTTCCCCTGCTTCTGCTGACGAGTGCAGAGGAGGGCGGGGGACTGGACCTTTACTGCTGACACCAGCCCTGCTGGTCCACGGCGCTGCTTTGGTTGGGGGGAAGAGGAGAGGCAGGGAGAGGACAGCGCAAGAGAGGGAAGAGTAGAGCAGAGGTGAAGAGGAATGGTCCTGACCCTTCCCTGTGTTGGGGGAGGAGTTGCATGGCTGGTGGTCCCCCAGATGGCCTCTGACCATTCCCCTGTGGTAGAACCGCATGTGAGCACATGACCAGAGCTTCTCTGAGCTGCCATTTCCCCAGCCAGAGGGAGTAGGGGATGACATCAGAATGAAGAACCACTTCCTCTCCCCTGCTAGGCAGAGCCCGTGGGCCCGATGCAGCCTGTAACTTGCATTGATCCAGCCTGTTACGCTTGGGATTCCGGACTCCATAGCAGGACAAGCCAGCTCTGGCTTGCTCTGTTGTGGGAAGAGAGAGCCCAAGCCTCGTGGGCCGGATCAAGACATGCCGCATGCTGGGCCATAGGTCCCCATCCCTTTAACTAGATACAAATTTAATCACTAGCAGAACTTAAAATTATCGATAAGGTGAACTGATTTCGAAAGAACATGGTTTTCAAAGAAGAATAAATAAATTAAAACTAAATAAATATTTAGCTACCAGATTGCAGAAAATATCTCAAAAGTAAGTGACATGTTATTGCATATACAGGCAGTCCCCGACTTACGCGGATCCGACTTACGTCGGATCCGCACTTACGAACGGGGCGCTGACTACAGGAAGCCCCAGGCAGAGTTGCTCTGCCCCGGGCTTCCTGGAATCAGCTGCTGATCAGTTTCAGCAGCAGCTGACTTGGGGACGCCTGGGGTTCTTAAGTTGATTCTGTATGTAAGTCAGAACTGGCGGTCAGTTTCAGCAGTGTCTGAATCTGGACGCCAGTTCCGACTTACATACAGATTCAACTTAAGAACAAACCTACAGTCCCTATCTTGTACGTAACCCGGGGACTGCCTGTACATAAGTCACCGCAGGATTGGAGCCTAAGCTTGTAAATGCTGCTGATCAGGACATCTGGGACTGACATTCAGGCTACGTCTACACTGGCCCCTTCTTCGGAATAGCCATGCTAATTTAGAACTTTGGAATAGGGAAATGCGTGGGGGATTTAAATATCTCCCGCGGGATTTAAATAAACATGGCCGCCGCTTTTTTTCCGGCTTGGGGAAAAGCCGGAAAAGAGCGTCCAGACTGGCGCGATCCTCTGGAATAAAGCCCTATTCCGGAGGATCTCTTATTCCTGCTTGAAAATTTCCTACTTGAAAGTAGGAATAAGAGATCCTCCGGAATAGGGCTTTATTCCGGAGGATCGCGCCAGTCTGGACACTCTTTTCCGGCTTTTCCCCAAGCCGGAAAAAAAGCGGTGGCCATGTTTATTTAAATCCCGCGGGGGATATTTAAATCCCCCGCGCATTTCCCTATTCCAAAGTTCTAAATTAGCATGGCTATTCCGAAGAAGGGGCCAGTGTAGACACAGCCCCAGGGTTTAAATCTGAAGTAACTCTGTGGAAGATAAGGGATTTACATGGGGTAACTGAGAGCAGAATGTCTCTACGGCTCACACTCCCCACCTTAAAAGTGAACTACTCCCATACATTAGAACTCAGTATTTCTGAGAAAATATGTGCCTGTATCTTTATTTGTTAATTGAATCACCATATAGGTGTGTGAACAATAACCAGTGCATTAAATGGTGGTAGAAATGTAGCCGTGTTAGTCTGGTGCTACACAGTCCTGTTTTTCGTTTCAGTGCATTAAACAATGCATATTTACTGTCTGCTAATTTTCAAGGCCACTCTTCTATTTTGCTCCTGATCTGGGAATGTGAATACAGGTTGGACCTCTCTGGTGCGGTACCTTCGGGACATGAGCAGTCCCGAACCAGGGCACTTGCTAGACCACGGGAGGTCAATGATAGCCCCTCTGCTGCCAGCTTCTGGCCACTGAGCTCCACCTCCAGCTTGTGCTCCTGGACCCCAATCCCAACCGCTGGGCTCTTCTTGTGACCCCTGTCAATGAGCTCCGACCCCAGTCACCGGCCCCCTGGCCTTGGGGCTCTGCTCCCAGCCACCAGACCCACTCTCTGATCCAGCATTATCCATGGTTCTGCAGTGCTAATTTTCCCCCATGAGTATTGCAACCCCACGGGGTCCCCACTGATGCTGGGCCATAGAAATTGCCAGACTGCAGAGATGCAGATTAGAGAGGTTCATCCTGTATTTGAAATTTCACAAAAGTTTGGTGGTACCTGCTTGCACTTTCTTCTCCCAGACTCTCCACCATGCTTTCTCTTATCAAGTGAGGAGTGTGATTTACTGAACCATCAGGCCAAATTCTGCTCTATTACACTGATATAAATCCACTGCACTCTATGGAGTTACTTCAGATTAAACTAGTGTAACTGATCAGAATGTAGCGTGGCATTCAGGGATGAACAGTTACAGAAAACTTAAACTAGCCATTCAAGGCAGACGTGACAGAAGAGTGACTTACCACCTTGGGCTTCCTGGACAGACACGCTCAAGTCAAATGTCTTACACTGGGATTCATCCTCCCGTATCCTTGCATTATAATCAGTCACCGCAGTTAATGTCACTTGTCCATAGCCTTCTGCTGTGATGGTGAAGTTTTCATTGAATTTGGTCTGTAAAGAACATGCACTTAGATGTGACGGATTCCTTACACATATTTCATCATTTTAAGTAAGACGAATGCAGTTAGGAGCTAATGCCTGTGAAAGGTGCCAGACTCCCAGCATGGGCATTTTTTTATTTCCTCTGTATCCAGAACATCTAGGGTGTATCTAGACTACACCTCTCTGTTGACAGAGGGATGCAAATCAAGCATGTTGCAATTGCTAATGAAGCAGGGATTTAAATATCCTGTGCTTCATTTGCATAAATATGGACACAGCTTTTTACCGAAATGGAGTTTTTTCTAAAAAAAAGGCAGTCTAGATGCAGATCTGTTGAAAATGAACCCTTTTTTCGAAAGAGCCTGTATTCCTAAAAAATGAGGTTTACAGGATCTTTCGAAAAAGGGTTTATTTTCAACACATCCACTTCTAGACTGCTGGTTGTTTTGAAAAAAAGAGATGGCCATGTTTATGCTAATACAGCGTGGGATATTTAAATCCCTGCTTCATTAGCAATTTCAGTGTGCTTGATTTGCATCCCTCTGTTGACAGAGGGATGCAGTCTAGTTGTAGCCCTACAGTGCAAACTTCCACGCAGACATTACCTTCTTAATGTGCTTCAACTTTGTTCCAAATCAGTCATTTCTATGGCATTTGACAAACGACTTTGTAAGTGCTAAATGTATTAATATTAAGGCTTAATGGACGTGACAAAGTTCCTACTTAACTTTGGTGACAGGAGCGGCCCGAGGCCAGCTGCAGCAGCTGGTGTCGTAGGTGGGGCAGCACAATTGGTGCCCCTGCCTGCATGGCCGTCAATGGCCGTGATGTCATCATCGGGCGCCCGGTCCAGTGGCACCCTAGGCAGCTGCCTAACTTGCCTAGGCTCATGGGCTGCCCCTGCTTGGTGGCTCCAGTGCTTTCAGGCAGATTACTTGCCTCAGAGGCTCACCAGCAGCCCTCAATTTAGATACCAGTTGGCTGTTTGTCGAGCTACTCTTATCATTGGCCAGCATGGGGAAAAGAGGGAAACCAAACTTCATAGTCTTTGTGGCCCCTCACAGTGGTACATGGTAGGAAAAGCCCTTGTACCAAAGTCAGTCTCTTTCTATTATTGAAACGAGGAGCTGGGAGGAGGGGGACAGGCCGGGCCTGCTCTTTACTTTGAGTTCCAGCCCAGAGTCTCTGTAACAGCAGATGTCTATTGTGTTTTTGTAACAGCTGCATGACAGCTACGAATCCCTGGGCCACTTCCCCACGGCCTTCCCCAGCACCTTCCTTACCAGAGGTTCTTCCTCCTGGTACCCGCTTGCATTTTCTTCTCCCAGCCTCTCCACCACACTCTCATAAGCACCTTCCTCACACACTGAGAAAACAGTAGGGAAGGCTTTTTAAACCCGTCTCAACTAGTTCTTAATGGGTCCCCAGGTGTTCTGATTAGTCTGACTCCCAGGAGCCTGGAAGCCTCCTAATTGGCCTGCTGTAACTAGTCATCATGACTAACCCAAAGCACTTAGGGAAACCTCAAGAGAGCAGAGAGGAGATGAGGGAATGGTGCTGAGAGCCGGATCTGGACTAGAAATATGGTCTGAAACTGTGCCAAGTTGAAGTGTGAGTTCACCTTTGTTAGCATCAAACCCCTGTGAATGGTTCGATGAGATTTCAGCCCAAATGACAGAGAACTCTCAAAAGATCATCTGGTCAGGCGAGATTTGTGCCACCTTTAATGAGTTTCTGGGATTTCTGATCACAAGCACAGAAATTGCACCCTTCACCCAATGACATCTCTCAGGCCCAGTTGTTTGAGAACTGTTCTCCATATTGGACCACCTCAGTCCCGGGAATAGGAAAAGGCCCCTTCTAGTTTTGGCTACAGGACCCAAACTGCACAGACAAGTTCAGATTTGAATTTCTCATTGGGTCTTCCTTCTCTACAACAGACATAACAGAATTTGTATGTTTCCTGAATCACTCAGAGATGTACGGTACCTCAACTTTTCTGGTCAAATGGGCATTTGTATAAGCAATTCTGTATGTGAGCTTTTTAGCACGTCTAGGTAGGAGAAAAGACACATCCAACATTAGATCTTCATGGAGAGGCACATCTATATGATACTGCCCAAGAGCTTGCAACATCACCGTGGTAGCCTATAAAACCAGAAAGATGATAAAAAGGTTACATGAAATGAACATCGGAAGGCTTCAAAACCAAAAACTATTCTGAATTTCCTCCACTGCTCAGGCTTGGTTTCGAGAGCTACAGTATTCTTGTAAGGTGTTTAAAGTAAACTCATAGTTTACCTAAATGTTCAGTTTTTCAATCTTGACTTTAGTTTAAGAAAAAAATGTGGAGTATATCTCCGAAACTACTGGAGGACTGTTCTAACTATGTATGCTCCATGCCCCACTATACAGTCTAATTTTAAATTGCTCAAGTTATGAGGAGTCCCCCAACCCATTCCTTTGCAGATCTTTGTGCAAATCTTATATATGCAACTTGGAGGAGGAATTTACACGTAGAGGAAACTTCTACTTACTATAGAGTCATAACTCTCTACATAGTATGCCTGCTGTTTCAGCCATCTGACTACGGGCCCAACCAAATCAAACCTCTTCAAACGCAGCAAGGCTAGGAGAGCGTACGAGGTGCTCTCAGTGTTGAAGTTGGAGTTGTCTTGTTCCTCCCAACGATTTCCATCTAACAAAGAAATAGAACTAGAGAAATCCCCAAACACACAGAACGGTTCATGCTGAGCAGATCTGAATGAAAAATCCCACCTTCCGAGACACTCCCACAAACACTGCCAGCAACAAGCAATGGTGTGACAAGGAAGGTATTTCCCACACTAGGTCAGGAGGCTTAATGCCCTGTGGAAGGAGGAAGTCCTGCCCTGCCCCCCCCCAGTCACACTGGGCATGCTCCAAGTGCAGGGACAGTGTAAAAGGGAGCAGCTCCGCTCAGTCTGGACTGGATGCTGAAGAAGGACCTGCTGCAAGAGCTCCAGGGGTGCCCCAGCCTGAGGCCTGGGTGACAGGAACCAGAGGTCTCAGAGACTATGTGGAGCATCCCCATGCCAGCTTTGGTAGGGAGTGACCCAAGGGGTGTGCACGGGTGGGATCTCCCACCAAAGTGACCTCAGTGTATTGCAGTTGAACTCCCTGCTGAGTGAGTGGTAGAGCACTCTGCCACTGACAGGGCTCTGGGTCAGGGCCTGGTGGAGTAGGTGGATCTAGGCACCCCACCATGGCTGCTGCCCCAAACTACTGACTCTTGCCATTAGGCTGTGATGCCTTGAACTGAGAGCTATTGCTACTGACGCTAGCCAGTGGGCTGTGTTGCCTCGAGATGACGCGTGCTTGCAACTTGACAAATGGTAACAAATCCATACCTATCTATATATATATTCCGAGACAAAAATATTGCATGAAGGTTCAGAGTGTACATCATTAAGGATTTTAAAAATTACAGATTACTGCATCAGTCACTCAGGAAATTTAGAACTAACAGAAATCCAAAAATGAATATCCAAACAATCTGAAATCTGCCCTGTAGTATGATTATGATTAAGACAATATAGTGCTTGTGGTTCCCATTTAGATTAAACTGATATTTAAAGAGAATGTTTCCCCTTATAGCATCACTACAGGACAGAGAGAGAGATTTTGTGTGTGCTTGAACGATGCATTTCCATATCTTAGTACATCTGGATTTGGATATATTTACAAATTTTCTGTAAAGTATTGTATTGACATGTACTCTCAACCTTTAACTCCATCTTAATGTAGTTATCATTTGGGAATAGTTTCATTTATCCTTGGAAGTATCTAAGAGTACGTCCACAGCGCGGGACAAAGTCAAGTTAAGATATGCAACTTTGGCTACGTCAACTGCGTAGCTGAAGTCAAAATAGCTTAATTTGACTTTTGCTGTTGTCTACACAGCAGGAACTTGAAGGAAGAACAAACACTCTTCCTTCGACTTCCCTTACTCCTCATAAAATGAGGGTTACAGAAGTTGGAGTAAGAAGCCTGTTATTTTGAAATCATTTCAAAATAACAGCTTGCTGTGTAGACTCACACTCTGTAATATTGAAATAACATGAGTTATTTTGAAACAAGTGTGCAGTGTAGACATAGCCTAAGGTAGTAACCAGAGATGTAAAATCCTATTTAATTAGTAAAGTGGCTAAATATAATGTTTAACTGGTTAACCAATTAAATGCAGGGAGTGGGTAGGGAGGCTGTAGCTGGGCTGGAGTTCCCCTGTCCACAGTGCACCCAGATCCACCATGGCTGGGGGCTATCCCGGCCAGACTAGAGTGCCCCCCACTCATGGTGGGCACCACGGGGCTGGAACAGCTTCCCGACCCAGCTCCAGCCCTCACTGGTTAACCATTAGCATCCCTAGAACACTGACTTCAATGGGACTACTTAGCATGTCCCTCACTTGTATCGGTCTCACTGCCCCCCTTTTTTTGTTGCTCGCTTTCGAATTCCATCCCAACATGGCCACTTCTCTCTCTTACTGAATTAGCCACAAGACTGTACCTTTTGAAGCTGCCATAAGCTCCTTTGCATCAGGCAGTTTGCCCATCAGTGCTAATGCATAGGATGTTATAGCCACGGTGTAGGGCCTTGTCAGAGAGCTGTACCTTGAGGACAAGTATTCTCCAGCTACAAGGATACTCTTGTGAAACCTCTGGGAAGTTAAAAAAAGACAAGGTAGAATTCAAGGTGTGGCTGGATTAGGCTGAGATTCTATTGATTCATTTCACCAGTCACATAACAATGTTAAGAAGTCTCAGAGGGAGAGCTGTGTTAGTTTGCAATGTGAAAAACATCACCATGTTAGTTTAGTTTGTCTTAGTTTGATCATGTAAATTCTGCTCTGTTGAGATGTATGAGTGTAACATGGCAGGCCTCACCACCACGCTGGCCTCCTACTGATCACTTAGAGCCCTCTCATCCGGCCCGTGGAGACTGTGACGGGGAAGAAACTCCCCGCACTAACAGCCCCTCCCCTGGAGAAGCGCCGAGGTGTACCGGTAGTTCGGAATAGGCACCCTAGTCCGAACTACCTAGTTCGAGCCCCGTGTAGCCGCGCTACACGGGGTTCGAAGCAGCGGGGATTTAAAAATGGCGGCTCCCCGCTTATGCTAATGAAGCCCGGGAAATTCAAATCCCGGGCTTCATTAGCAAGTGCGGTATGCATACATTACCCTCCTAGTTCGAACTAGGAGGGTAGTGTAGACATACCCAGGGCTCAAGTGTGTAGTCGGCCCCCGAACTGCTGTTTGATAGTTAATGCGGCCCTCGGGCAGAAAAGTTTGGAGACCCCTGACTTAGAGAATCAGCAAAATGCAGGACAATGTAGCACTTTAAAGACTAAAGTGCTACATTGTCCTGCATTTTGCTTCAGCTACCCCAGACTAACATGGCTACATTTCTATCACTATTCTACTTAGAGAATCAGCTCTTTGGTGTGGGAGCGCCCCCTTCTGGCTGGTGTCATGCCTGCTGTTACCTATTCTTCTCCGTCTCTGTTAGGACCCACGTCCTTCCCAGACCGTGGTGTTCTCCAACCTGGGTATTGCCCTACCACAGTGCCCCCACACTCTGGAGTCCTGTATGCCGTTGCCATTTGCTGCTTCTGGGGGTATGTCTACACTACCCCGCTAGTTCGAACTAGCGGGGTAGTGTAGACATACCCAGAGTGTCCACACTGCCATAGATGCTCTTGTGTGAAAGCACAGCTCGCACATGGAAGAGTGGATGTGTTCTTGCATGAGAACACTTGTGCAAGATGTTCTTGCGCAAGAAACAACAAGTGTAGACATAGCCTAAGAGAGTCCTCACATGAGCAAAATGAATTTTGTGTTGTGCACCAGTATTGAGTTCATGTGGCTTGTTTGGATATGCCACCCAAGTTATTAATAAATATTTTTAACCCTCTCGAGCGCCGAGGTGTACCGGTAGTTCGGAATAGGCACCCTAGTCCGAACTACCTAGTTCGAGCCCCGTGTAGCCGCGCTACACGGGGTTCGAAGCAGCGGGGATTTAAAAATGGCGGCTCCCCGCTTATGCTAATGAAGCCCGGGAAATTCAAATCCCGGGCTTCATTAGCAAGTGCGGTATGCATACATTACCCTCCTAGTTCGAACTAGGAGGGTAGTGTAGACATACCCTGGGTGGGAAACTGAAACTATTCTAGTCTGACAGCTGGATTTGCATTCCTCATAGTTTTGGCAAGAAATTTTGCCATACCACTCCTCCAAAAAATTTGAAAAAACTATTTTCTGAGGAATGAAGATGGCCTTATTTTTCCTTTCCTTTCCTTTTGATACAAATGCTAGTTCTCAACTTCCCTATTCTGTCAAGATCTTAATAGGGGTAGAACTTGGCATCACAGCCACGTTTGAAACCTGAGTTCTTCTGTGTGGACAGGAGAAGAAAATCTGGTGTCTTTTCTAACTTTTCCATTGCTGGATTCCTTACACCACATGCTTAGATACACCACAATTTTGGCTATTGGAGACAGGGATTAAGAACCCAAAGGTTGAAAGGATGGAAAATGTGGACAAGAATATCAATAAGCTACATACTCACAACGAACAGATTCTGGCAGATATCTTTGGACTCTAGCATTGCAATGAGAACGAACGCCGTTAAAGAGACCTCTGGCTCAGCACCCTGGTAACCTCCCTAAAGAGTAAGAAAGAAAAAATCTCTGGTTCAGAAAATCACTTGAGTATGTACTTTTTTAATAAAGACTAAGAAATAATAGCAAGTCCCCAATATATAGAATAGTGACAAAAAGCCATGATATGCTATAAGCAGATAGGAACAGCCATACTGGGTCAGACCAAAGGTCCACCTGGCCCAGTATCCTGCCTTCCAATAGTGGCCAATGCCAGGTGCCCCAGAAGAAGTGAACAGAACAGGGAATTATCAAGCAATCTTGTAGTACATTCCCAGCTTCTGGCAAGCAGAGGTACGGGACATTTCAGATTTTGGTTTTGTATCCTTGCCCATTGTGGCTAATAGCCATTGAATGACCTATTCTCTATGAACTTTTCGTTCTTTTTTTAACCCTGTTATAATCTTAGCCTGCACAAAATCTTCTAGCAATGAGTTCCACAGGTTGACCATGCATTGTGCCGGCCGTTCTTGTGCAAGAACCTGCAGAGCATCCACACTGCCCGCCCGCTCTTGCACAAGAGATTTACAGTACGGCATCAGAAGACAGGGCTTCTTGCACAAGAGGTATGCTCTTTTCTAACAAGTGTAAGCCCTCTTGCGCAAGAGGGCAGTGTGGACATATGGCAAGGCTTTCTTGTGCAAGAAAGCCCGATAGCTACAATGTCCATCAGAGCTTTCTTGTGCAAGAGAGCGTCCACACTGCCATGGATGGTCTTGCGCAAAAGCACATGGCAGTGTGGATGTGTTCTTGCGCAAGAACCCGCCAGTGTAGACATAGCCATAGAGTTGCACTGCTGGAGTTGAGGTGCCACATATGGAGCCTAGATGATCTACTGCCTCTCCAGTTCCTTCTTGCAAGATTCCTCGGACTGAGAGGAAGATGGATGGACATGAGCAACACATCTGGAAGAACACCAGCTACAGGAATGTAGGGAACCATTTTTTCTTTTTTCTGCTTGCTCATGTTGATGCCAATTAGGTGACTCCCAAGCCTTACCTAGGCGGTGGGGTGGGGGTTCATGGAATGACTGATGGAAGCACTGCTCTGCCGAATGCTGCATCGTTCCTGGCATGCTGGGTGACAGCATAATGGGAAGAGACAGTGTGGTCCGAGGACCATGCTGCCTCTCCACCGATCTCCTGGATTGGGACCTGGGCCGGGAAGGCCTCCAAAGAGGCCTGTGAGCTGGTGGAATGTGCTGTCAGTGTGGGGGCATGGACCTTTGCCAAGTCATAGCATGTCCAGATACAGGACATGATCCATGGTAATATTCCTTGAGAGGAGGCTCTTCATCTTGTGTGCTCCTGTGACAAATAGCTGGCTCGGCTTTGTGGAATGGCTTTGTTTGTTCAACATACAAAGCCACCGAATGCCCAGGGAGTGGAGCCTTTGCTCATGGCCATTGGCATGAGGCTCTGGGGAAAAGACTGGTTTGGTTGGCATGGGACTATGAGACCACCTTCAGGAGGAATGCTGGATGAGGTCAAACACCTTGTCCTGGTAAAATACTGTGTAGGGGAGTGCAGAGGTGAGGGCCTTGAGCTCAGACACCCTCCTGGCTGAAGTTATTATGACCAGGAAAGTCACATTAGAAGGCAGAAAGAGCAGTGAGCATGTCATGAGGGCTCAAATGGGGACCCATTGGCCTCAAGAGTACCAGGGTAAGAGCCCAAACAGATATAATCTGGCTAGTCCTTTTAAGAATGGCTGCACTGCCAGACTAGCGAGGACAGCACAGCCAGATTCTCTTGGGATGGAAATTGAAATTGGGAGCTAGGTGAACCTTTATCCATGAGTGTGACAAGCCCTGCTGTTTCAAATTTAACAGATAGTCCAAGATAAAGGGAATCCCAGATTGTTTTGGAGAAACACGGCTTTGCGAACCCCAAACTGAGAGCCTCTCCCACTCGGCTATGTAGGTAGCATCAGCCAATGGTTTTCTACTGCCACGAAGAGCCTTCCTAATGGGACCCGAGCACATGAGCTGTAGCAGATTTAACTGCGCTGTTCCCAAGCCATGAGCTGGAGAGACTTCAGATTAGAGTGCTGGACCTGGCCCTTACGCTAAGCTATCAAATCTGGAACTAACGGGTCGGATGATCGGGGTATCCACAGAGAGCTCCAGCAACAGGGTGTACCACTGCTGTCATGGTCAGTCTGGTGCCACCAGAATCGCAGAGGCTCCATCCCTCTGGACCTTGAGGAGGATCCTGCGAATGAGCGTGGCAAGCGGAAATGCGCAGAAGAGGAGGCCCTTCCGTGGAAGAAGAAATATGTCTACCAGCAAGCCCAGCCTGGGATTTAGGAAAGAGCAGAACTGTAGGCACTTCCTGTGACAAGCTGATGGTGCCAGGTGTTGTGCAGGCAGGGAGGGGTGTTCCACACCCCCCTTCGGGATCTGACACTCTGCTGCCCGGGCAGGGGAGCGCCCCTCCCAGCTGTCTTCTGTGCTTCTTTCTCGGTACAGGAGACAGTGAGCAGCGCCGTGATTGCTCCCACGAACCAGTCTTGAGTGCCAGTGCCGAGTAGCTCTGACCCCAGAGTCCTTCCTCGGCAGCATGTCCCGGACTGACAGCAGAGCTCTGCACACCAGTTCCAAGGAGCCAGACACCATGTCTGTGGGGTTCAACACCAACTACACGTGCAGAGCCACTTCCATTAGCAGCAGCTTCAGCCCATGGTTCTTTTCCTTCCTGCTGCAGCGCTACACATTTTGCACCTGTCTGTTTGGCGGGACTCCCCTGGGCACTCTGAACAAGGTGGGTGGGGGTTGCCCTCTGGCAAACCACCCAGGTTGGAGGCATGCCTGTCCCCAAGGGGAGATAAGGGAGCTGGGGGGGAAACCCCAGCAGCAAGAGTTCAACTAGCCTCAACTATTTTGACTAGTTACAGAAACATGTACAAAAAGCAAGCTAGAGGGTCCCTCGTATGGAGAATTCTGAAATGCCCAACGACTGGCATTGGTGGTAAAGAGGAACGGGAGAGGCGGCAGGTTGGCAGAGCCCTATATGCGGCACCATGAAAGTGGGACTCCACTGGACTCCATAGCTGAGCCTATGGGTACCGCTAGGGAAAAAAATCTTCCGGTGACCGTGCACATGGTGTGCACACACCTAACTGGGATCAACACGAGCAAGCTCAAAGGGAAGAACAAGGCAGAACCCTGGCCTGCTGCTGCAACAGACCTTGCTTCATTCCCTGCCCTCTGGCTCCTGACTACTGACTCCATCTTGGCTCTAACCCCTGGACCTGGGCTACCAAATCTGGCTCGATCCCTCAGTCTTGGCTGACAGTGTTTGTAACCACTGGGCCTAACTGCTCACATCCTGGCTTTTATGTAGCACTTTAAAGACTAAGAAGGTGGTTTAATAGATGATGAGCTTTCATGGGCCAGACCCACTTCCTCAAATTATATGAGGAAGTGGGTTTGGCCCACGAAAGCTCATCACCTATTAAACCATCTTGTTAGTCTTTAAAGTGCTACATAGTTTTTCCTTTTGTTTTAGCAAGATCAGACTAACACAGCTACCTCTCTACTTCTATCCTGGCTTCTGACACTTTCTGACTTTAAAAGTTTTAAGTTTCTAGGCTGAACAGGCAGGGTGTGGTTGGGGTGTTTTAGGAACTTACCACCATCTCTTTCTGGATCACAGGAGAATCTTCTTTGAAAGTCCCATCAGAGTTGTGCTTTTCCAGGGACAGCCAGTGCCCAGCATTACAAATTACTTCAGAAGGAATAGGCACCAGGTGGCTAGCCATAGCAAAGACCTTTGTTACGTATGCTGTCAGCCTAAGGGGTCAACACGCAGTGTCAGTCACTTGTTCTCCACCGGAGTCCCTGCCATGACTCTGAAATCCTCCCCACAGGCGCATTGGTGCCAAAGATTTACCAACCCCACTCACGCATCTGCTGGCAAATTTCAGCTACAACTTTAAATTGTGAATGAGAGGCAAGAAGGGGCGCTCATGGGCCAGCTATGCTAAGAAACAGAAAGGCTACATCTAGACTGGCATAATTTTCCGGAAATGCTTTTAGCGGAAAAGTTTTCCATTAAAAGCATTTTCGGAACAGAGCGTCTAGATTGGCACAGACGCTTTTCCGCAAAAAAGCCCCAATCGCCATTTTCGCGATTGGGGCTTTTTTGCAGAAAACAAATCTGAGCTGTCTACCCTGGCCCTTTTGCGCAAAAGTTTTGCACAAAAGGACTTTTGCCCAAGCAGGAGCAGCATAGCATTTCTGCAAGAACATTGACAATCTTACATGAGATCATCAGTGCTTTTGCGGAAATTCAAGCGGCCAGTGTAGACAGCTGGCAAGTTTTTCCGCAAAAGCAGCTGATTTTCTGGAAAAACTGGCCAGTCTAGAGTATCTAAGGAGGACGCTCCTCTCTTCTGACTCTGCAAAAGGTGATTAGAATAATCTGATGTGGAAGGGTGTCATTGTGCTGTCTTTATGGCCGCTGGGACAGGGGAGGAAGACCACTTGTTCTGGACACTGGTTTTAAAGCTTCTGAACTCCTAGGTAAAGGGTGTGATTGTGCACATGTGGGAGGAACAAGAAGCAGCACACGGTTTTACACAATCGTTCATCCAAGCACTGAACAGGCCTGAATCTCCTGGCCTGAGATGGAGGGAGATCATATCTCAAACATGGTCTAGCTGCCACGGTGGACTTACACCCTGTGAAAACATACCCCTTGAGAAGTGGACCGAGACCAACCACATTCCAGAGAAGCCAGTTGTGACAGGATGTTTGCCTTGCACTGGCACTTTAAGGGCAAAACCCCAGCCCTGAGCAAGGGCTAAGAGCAAAGCTCCAGCTGAAGCAGTTCTGCTAATGAGGGCCCAGCTGGGGGCTATATAAAGAAGGACTCGTGGCACCTAAAAGAAAAATGACTGTTGCTCTGGCTAGAGAGCAGTAGGCACCTGCCTGCCAGGGAAGAAGGAGGCTTCCTGGAGATAGAACAGGGCTAGGGAAGCTCTGGTCAAGCAAGCTCCCAGGTTGCAGTGTCTGAAGGAAGCCCCAAGGCTACTAAGGCTGAAGAGAGGTGGGCAGGGGCAGCAGGTCCACATCCCTTGGCCAGCAATAAGTGGCCATTGCAGACTGCAGTTTGCCCCTGAGTCGGGCTAGCTGAAGACTGGCAGAGGTTTATTGAGACAAAGTGGGTACAGGGGAACTGGGGGCCCCTGGGGAGCAGAGGACCCTGGAGTGCTTGCCAGGAGGGGGTCAAGGGGATTGGGCCGGTTGGGAGGGGGTCAATGGGAGTGGGGCAGGCCAGCGGGTGAGAGAATTGGCTGATGGTGAGCAGGACTGACCTGGGCACATGAAGAGGTGTGGGAGAATAAAACTGAGCTCTGGAGAAATGTTTGGGTAGAGTTTCCCCTACAATATGTACCAGTTCCGACTTACATACAAATTCAACTTAAGAACAAACCTACAGTCCCTATCTTGTACGTAACCTGGGGACTGCCTGTACTTCCAAAATAATATAAAGTGGCTGTAGGCTATATCTATGTTAGTGCTTTTATCGGTACAATTTCTGTCACTCGGGGGTGTGAAAAAACACTCTGAAACCCTGAACTGACAAGTTTTACTGACAAAACTGCCAGTGTGACCAGCGGTTTGTTGGTGGGAGACGATCTTACCTCGACAAAACTACTGCCACTCATTAGGGGCGGTTTTATTTTGTCAGCAGAAAAGTTCTCCCCTGCCAGCAAAGGATGGTGATGCAGGGCTAGTGTGAATGAAAATCAGATCCATAAGGTGATTGGTTTTGGAGAGGAGACTAGTTTATCATAAGCGGCGAGGAGTCCTGTGGCACCTTATAGACTGACTGAAGTGTAGGAGCATAAGCTTTCGTGGGCAAAGACCCACTTTGTCAGATGCATGTCATAGTTTATCATACAAGATTAGGGTTGGAAGAGACCTCAGGAGACCACTACTCCAACTCCCTGTTCAAAGCAGGACTAACTCCAAGTAAATCATCCCAGCCAGGTTTTAAAAACTTCCAGGGGTGGAGATTCCACCTGCTCCCTAGGGAACCCATCCCAGTGCTTCATCACCCTCCTACGGACATAGCTTTTTCCAAATATCCAACCTAGACCTTCTCTACTGCCACTTGAGACCATGGCTCTTTGCTCTGCCACCTGACAGCACTGAAAACAGCCTCTCTCCATCCTCTTTGGAACCCCCTGTAGGTCACTGAAAGCTGCCATTATATCCTCCCTTACTCTTCTCTTCTGAAGACTAAAGTCCATTTCCCTCAGCCTCTCCTCATTAGTCCTGTGCTCCAGCCCCGCAATCATGCTCTGTATAATTATAATATCTTGTCAAATAACGGGGCGGTCCTTTGGTCATCAAGCAAGTGTTACAGACCAGCTGAGCTTACCATGTACTGGAAGGCTTGTCTTGGAAAGCTGCATAGGAGTGGTCAGGTTTTTTAAAAACTAGCTGCTGCATGTAACCTGAAAAAGAGCAAGACATATCTGGGAAATACCTGCCTGTCTCATTTTTAACCACAGGCTTTTACATGGGCAAGGCTGTCATTCAAACAGAACGCAGGGGGCACAACCCCATGCAAGTATCCCATGCTCTGAGCAATCTCCCTGCTTAAACCTTCCTGTTGTGCTTTTCTCTTGCTTCACAGCTGTGTTCTCTCTCTTCCTGCCTTCCCTCTGTCACCTCTGTCTCCTACCTCCTGTGTTAGTGCTCTCACATAGGGGCTAGCAGCCAAGTGAACCAGCGAAGAACATGAAGCTCCTGAATTAAGCACTCCAGTCTCCTGGATCTGTGTTACTTTTCACTCTGCCTGTGGCCTTCTGATGTATTCCCCTCACATCTAGACTCAGCCATGGCCTGAGCACTGCCCTAGGATCAGACAGGGCTGCCTCGCAGGAGGAAATTTAAGGAGACAATAGTGACAACACGGGCAGATCAGCCTCCATCAGGGGAGCTGGCAGCCTGTGCATACCCCAGGACAAGGTGGGGTGTCTCTGCTCTCCCCAAAGCGGTGAGGCCTTGGCAGGAGGGGTGGGTCTGTGGGCAGCCAGCCCTCCACACCATCCAGAGTACAGCACGCCCACCCTCAGCCCTCAGAGCCTCACAGAGTGCATGACATGGAGCTCTGGTGGCAATTTAAAGTGCCCGGAGCTCCAATAGCATTTGGCAGCAGCTGGACTCCTTTGAATTGCCAGGCCCCGGGGCAACTGGGGCCTCTGCACTGTGACTGCCTATTGATGTAGTGAGGTTGATACTGTGGACATCTGTCCCACCAGGAACTGAACAGAGACCACCCACTGCAGCCCACACGACAGCCAGCAAAAAGTAAATTTTCTGCAGTGCCTGAGCTGCGGCAGATTTGAACTGGCAGCACGTGGGTGAATTGTTCAGAAACTGTTCAATCCTGTCTTTGCGCAATGGCATATACAGGCTGTGGCGGATTAGCTACTGGCTTGATGGGGCCTGTGCCCAGGGGCCCTGGCCATCTGGAGAACCCAGTAAAAATCTGTCTCCAAGCAGTGAAAGCCTGGAGCCCCTAAAGAAGTGCCACGTGGTTGGGGTGGGGAAAGCCCCACAGCCCAAACCCCACTCCCCAGTAGTGCCAGGTAGGGTAGGGGAAGCCCCAGCACTGGTCTTGGGCCTAGAGCTTTCACTCCCTACTGCTGCCGTAGGCAAGACAGAGAGAACTTGCCTGGTCTTGGATAGGCAGAACGGGGCAGGACCATAGGCAGAAAAGAGGTGGGACCGAGGCAGAAGGGGCCGGCGGGGGCTCCCCAATTGCTTTGGTCCAGGGCCCCATGAAATCTTACTCTGCCGTGTAGACAGGACTCTCACATGCTAGGAAAGAACACGAATCTGCCTCGAGATCTGCTGTCTCGCATCAGAGCCACCTCTTACCTTGCAGGATCAGATTGCGGGCTTCCACCCTCAGATCCATGCCAATCTTCTCCCACTGCTCCGTGTGGTCCAGGTAGAGGGTGGCGATGACTGTTGTGGACATATTCTTCATGTTAACCTCACCGTTGCCATGAGGTTTCAGAATGAATTGGTTAAGGCGGGTGCCGTCAAAGGGTTCTTCTGTCAGGTAGAGCACAGGCTTTCCTGGCCATGAGAACACAGTGTGAATTCCGGCAGAGAGGCAGGGCTGGTGGGGACAGGGAGAGGGATAGAGCACGCACCACTCCTCAACCACTTCCCTCAGCACCTGCTGAAGTCAAGGGACCCAGCATGTTGCAGGACCCTGTCCTAAGCCTGGATCAACTGACCCAAGTCTGTGTGTTCTAAGGCATCTCCTAATACTGTGACCTCAAGCCCTCATGTCTACTCTACTGTACTACCGTTACTGTCTATACTCCAGTCTATATCTATGTCCGTCACCACCGCTTGCCACTCTACTGAAACCACGTGTCGTTCTCAATCATCTGTGGTAAATTCATGGGCACCTCATAGTTCTCCCAACATTGTGTATCATGGGCATTTGGAACTGAATGGCTACAACAGGGAGAGAATCCAGATATCCCTGCTCCGAAGCTAGAGGAAAGACAACATGAATGTATTTGCTAGATCCGTGGTCCAAAAACAAATTAGCCACACTCAATCGGCGAAATAGCCTATGGAGCTATAGTCACATGCTCTGCTTCCCCTACTAGCTCTCTTCTGCCCCCTGCGTATGCCTCATTTATGAGCACATTTGGGCTATGTCTACACTGGCAGCTTCTTGTGTGAGTAATATGCAAATGAAGCTAAGCATGGAATATCGCTGAGCCTCATTTACATACCTAATGAGCCACCATTTTTTTTCAGAAGAGGCTCTTGTGCAAGAAGGAGCATCTACACTTCCCCTTCTTGCACAAGAAAAACCCTCTTGCGCAATGCCCTTACACCTATTACTTTTCCGGAAGAACGGCATTGCGCAAGAGGGTTTTCCTTGCGCGAGAAGGGGCAGTGTAGACGCTCCTTGCGCAAGAGCCTCGTCTGAAAAAAATGGTGGCTCATTGGGTATGCAAATGAGGCTTGGTGATATTCCACGCGTAGCCTCATTTGCATATTACTCACGCAAGAAGCTGCGAGTGTAGACATAGCCTTCTTGTTTAGGAGGCGTTCTTGAAGGTACAGCTATCATGTCTCCATGGCCTCTATACTTCATTCTCTATCTAAGCAGAATGCTCTTTAAAACCACAATCTCTTGCCTTGGAATATGATTCTGGTCTGCGACTCCGTGTTGGGAACCATGTCGTCTATATCTGCAGCGCCCACCATCACTTCCTGGACGCCATCTGAAAAGGGTGTGGGAGAACCACAATCAGGCCAACTGTTCCAGTGTGCTGGAGGTGGCTGCTGCTATTTCTCAAATGTTACTCTGTGGGCGCTTTATGTTCCTGCATAGTCCAGCACACGGCTCCCTCTATTTTTTCCATCCGTGTGTGGAATACATTTTGTTATGTGCACCAAAGCATGAGCAGTTGTGCATCACCAATAGAAGCACCTGCTGCTGGAATCTCTCCTGGGTGGCTGCCCAAGTGCTAAGCTTACAGGGAAAACTGGTCCAGCTTGGTGGGCTGGGACAATGGAGAGGGCTGTAATGGTGTAAGCTGTCCCTTTAAAGACAGACCCATATCAGGCATTGGCCTGTGGGATGAACGTGGGAATTTTTTATATTTTAACAAGAACTGGCTGAAATCTACACACATGAATGGAAGAACCTGAGTTGGAATGGAATGGAAGAGCCAAGGACTGGGCCATTAACACTTAACAACTGGGGCAACCCAAAGCAGGCAACTTCCTCCAATACTGCAGGGAAGCACAGTCAGGAGATCACAGCTGGAAGGAATAACGTGTCAAGAGGCTGCCTTTCAAGCCTGGCCTGTTGAACAGACGTCACACAAACAGGGACAGTGAGAAAAGATGGAGCCCAGAGAATCATGGCATGGCAAAGCTATTGCTGCGATCAGTCTGGAGTGACTGATAATCAATCACTCTGGGTATGTCTACACTACCCTCCTAGTTCGAACTAGGAGGGTAATGTAGGCATGCCGCACTTGCAAATGAAGCCCGGGAAATTCAAATCCCGGGCTTCATTTGCAAGTGCGGCATGCCTACATTACCCTCCTAGTTCGAACTAGGAGGGTAATGTAGGCATGCCGCACTTGCAAATGAAGCCCGGGAAATTCAAATCCCGGGCTTCATTTGCAAGTGCGGCATGCCTACATTACCCTCCTAGTTCGAACTAGGAGGGTAATGTAGGCATGCCGCACTTGCAAATGAAGCCCGGGAAATTCAAATCCCGGGCTTCATTTGCAAGTGCGGTATGCATACATTACCCCGCTAGTTCGAACTAGCGGGGTAGTGTAGACATACCCTTTGTTTTAAGGGTGGCTTTTCTGTGCTGACCCAAGGACTCCGGGGTGCTCTGTTCCAGCTGGCTAATAATTGCTCCGCAGCTCTGGAAAGCCTGCCTGGTACCAGGGTAAGTTCTTCTAGGCTAGCACTGCTCTAAGAAGATAAAGTCTCTGCAGGACCTTGTATGAAGTTGGACTCATTGGCGGAGCTCACGGTGGACCCAGTCCTGGGGTTCGAGTGCTTATGTGACCTGCCCTTGTGGAAAAGCACAAACTCCTGGGTTCTGGCACAGTAGTGAGGTGACTCCCAAGAGGCTTAGCTCAGACAGACCCGTACCAGGCACAGGCTTGTTACTAATTTCAGGTCAGAAGGGAAGCTGGAGTAGCAATGCATGCTGGGAAAGGGGACGGCTTACAAAGCAACCTGGTCAGAGGCCTGAAGAAGGTAAGAAGCAGCTTGTGAGGAGTCCTGAAGAGAAAAAGGCTGCTACCGGGTAGGGTTGCCAGATGGTTGAAACAAAAATACCGAACATGCCTCTCCCCCCTGAAAAAATTCTGTTGAAGGGGGGAAAAAAAGGGGAGGGAGACCAAAGTTGTTGTTCTCTGAATTTTTTTACTGGAAAGGAGGTGAAAATACCGGACTGTCTGGGTGAATACCGGACACCTGGCAACCCTAGTGGGAGAATTGCTCCTTACTGTGGGCACTGTATGAAGGCAAATCATTAGGGTCACTTACTTATTCCTTTCCTAGCAGGATCCAAGAGCATGGACGCAATCGTTTTTGTCTCTTTCCTCCCTTCAGGCTAGACAGAAAGAAAAAGGACAAATGCTCTAATGGCCATGTCATTGTCCGGTGCTTTCGGCGGCAGTGACAGTGATGTTTAGTCGAGGATCTGACCAGGATGTCTGGAAATACGAGGCACTCTCCTGCCCCCCTTCAGATCCTAGTTAGGAAGCTTCCAGAGCAGAATTCTTGGGGGATGCTTAGGATGGAACTAAGACTCCCTTTAGAGCTAGGCATTGATGCTTCTTTGCTTGGCTCCCAGGGGTCCTTGCTGAGTGATTGGAGACACTCCCTGGGTGCACTGAGGATCTGACCAGGATGTCTGGAAATACGAGGCACTCTCCTGCCCCCCTTCAGATCCTAGTTAGGAAGCTTCCAGAGCAGAATTCTTGGGGGATGCTTAGGATGGAACTAAGACTCCCTTTAGAGCTAGGCATTGATGCTTCTTTGCTTGGCTCCCAGGGGTCCTTGCTGAGTGATTGGAGACACTCCCTGGGTGCACTGAGTCTGCATGGATTCCACTACCTACTGGTCCAAGGAGCAACACACTGAGCCTAATGAATTTGTCCGTGGTCTCGTATGTGATGTTTTGCAGGGCCAAATGCGAGACTGCCCTTCCAGCCCCAACTCTGCTGAGTGCCACACTGGAAGGAAGGAAGAGAGCTGACAAGAGGGATGCTAGTGTTAATTGTCATGGTTAAGGTAAAGCACCAGTTTAAGAGACTGGCTTGTCTGTCCTTCAGCCTCTTGCCCTACAGTGGACAAAAGTCCGTAAGTTGGTACCTACCACGACTTTCAGCTTCTTTTTCACATGATCAGCCTCATTGGAGTGCCACACAGCTGCACTGATTTCCAGGTTATGGAATCCCAGCTGCAGTGGGACAATCACAAATGGCAAGGCCCGGGAAGACCTGGCTTTCAAATTGAATATCTGCCGGTAGTTTGCCTTGGAAGAGGACGGGCTGCAGAAAGCCGGATTATACATCAGCTCCATGCGGACCTGAACAGGGATGTGGCAGTTAGGGAGAGGAAAACAGCAGAGTCCCTCATTCTATGACAAGTTAAGGGCCTGATCCTGTTTAGTGCTCCATGACCCGGCATGCCGAGGGCGCACAAAATCAAATAGGATTGGGCCTACAACTAAGCTTAGCACTGGAATGCCCGCAGAAACCTGAGCATAGGAACTGTTAACCAAAGGATGCCAAAAGAAGAGCTGAAACTGCTTAATTGGAAATCTGCCGATGGGGAGCATATACTCAGCTGTACAGTGCAGGTACGCAAGAAGCACATAACTGTGTATTAAAGTGCTGGTTTGCCAGCCACTAGAGAATAATACTCTCTGTTTATCTACAGATCAGGACCAGCCTGGACAGCTTCCCCACACAAACACCCCTGAGAGTGGATAAAGGTGAGATGGAATTTCACCCAAGTGCTCAGCTTACAGGAAACACTGCAACCCACTGCAATTTAGCACATCCAACTGTCTGTGAAGGGGTCTTGGCTGGGTAGAACAGGCAGTGTTCTATCATTACAGCCACCATTAGGAGAGATTTAAGCTGATATTGCCATGTTACAAACACATCTTCTGCTATGAAACCCCCACTTTGTTCCCCACAGGACACCAGTCAGCCCTCAGCTGTCACACAGCACCTGGGCTATTTATGACTTAAAGCTGTCCTGAAAATGTTAACGTGTAAACTTCAGGGAAGCATCTGTGTGAAGCACCAGCATGATCTGAGACACTGCATTCTACATCCAGAGAAACCGGTAGTTCAGGAGAAAGTACTGTCCCGATCACCAAAGGATCTGGGAACCAACCATCCATGGACAGAGTGATCATCAGAAAGTGGATTTTTTCTTTTTTGGGTTTGTGCAGATTTGACAATGCATGGGAGAAGGGGTGGCCCGTGTGTATAGGCTGACTCCAGCATGATCTGAGACACTGCATTCTACATCCAGAGAAACCGGTAGTTCAGGAGAAAGTACTGTCCCGATCACCAAAGGATCTGGGAACCAACCATCCATGGACAGAGTGATCATCAGAAAGTGGATTTTTTCTTTTTTGGGTTTGTGCAGATTTGACAATGCATGGGAGAAGGGGTGGCCCGTGTGTATAGGCTGACTCGGGGCTCCCAATGATCACGTCATGCCATCGAGGGCTATGGAGGCAGGGGCGCCAATTGCGCATTCCTCCTGGGGCGCCAATTGCGCATTCCGCCTGGGGCACCAGCTGCCAGCAGCCTACCTCGGGCTGCCCCTGCATGTGAGCGTCAAAGATTGAGACAGTCTCAAACTGCCGGCAATTTCACACCTGTTGCCAACAGTGAAGAACACCACTTTTCCCCCACAGAAGGTGGGGGTGAGGAAACATTTTTGGAGCAGAGATGGCCAGGATCGCTAACTGGTCACAGTGGCTAGGAAGCTGGGCCATCCCCTTTTCCTGTAGGTTATAACCCTGCCTATTTGCCGCCGTAGCCTCACTGACATCAGTGGGCGTAAGAAGCGAGAGAAGGAAAAGGGCGGAACAGAAGACAGCAAGCAAAGAGACTAGAAAGGGACATGAAGGAAGATGATGGGGAAGGGAAAGAGAGGGGAGAGAGTGCCATGAGGCAGGAAAGGGAGAAGGCGATGGGGGAATCAGAGAGGTGAAGGAAGGGGTAAGAAAACATGAGACATGTGGAAGAAGTCTGATAGGAATGGAAGAGCAGGTCTGGGAAGAAAGGGCCAGGAGCTGGCGTTTCATTTTGAAACAATCTTCTTCCAATGGGGGTTCTTCCTCATAGTTAAGGCCCCCGAAGGCAAGCCAGAAACCCATTACATTGATTTTAAACCTCATGATTTTAAAGCCAAACTTATTACATTAGGGCTGTCTGCCAAGATTTTTGAAGAGTTGGAGATGGCCATGTGTGCTTGTGCATCAATTTCATCAAAGCCCCAACTTGATTTCAGAGCTCTGTGGGGCTGCAAATTTACCTTGATGTCTTGCTCCAGGTAGCTGTAAAAAATAGCCTGGATTTCCACTGGTTCATTCCGCACTACGGAGTAGGGCAGCCGGAGGTCAATGGTGAATTTTTTCAGTACCGTGATCTCATAGGGGTCAGCCACACAGATCCCTGCATAGTCAGCGGGAAAACACAGCATGTACATGCTGCTATCTCATCGATTGTTCCATCTCATGGTGATGTTTCCAAGGCTCACTGTAACCTGGAAAGTACTCTCCATTTGCACCCTTTCTTGCATCCTCCTGCTCTCCAAAGAGCAGTCTGTGTGCCTTACCTGTGGTCTCTGAGACGCTCACAGCCCGCACTTGCCAGGTTGTGATGGAATCCTTCAGGAAAATATGTATCGTCTTGGGAAAGTTTCTACATGGTAAGAGAAGGGCAGGTTATTTTATAGAAGGAGAAGCTGGGGCTTTATGGTCCTTCCCAATCCCAGGATCCAAACAGACCTGGCTTAGCGCATGTCTACACTAGGAAATTATTTTGAAATTACTAAATTTGGGATAACTCCTGAATTAACAAAATTGAAATACCGTGACCCCACTATGGGGAGCCTTGAAATGAATCTGAGCCAAGCTCTGTTACTGTGGAGGCCCAGGAAGCACTGGGAGTAATTACTTTGAATGATTCTGGCAAGTAATCATTTCGAAGGAGCAGCCGCGGAGCTATTTCTAATAACTATTTTGAAATAAGCATTATTCCCTGAGGAAAGCAGGAATACACATTTTGAAATAACCAGCCTGTTATTTCAAAGTAACCAGCCTGTTGTTATATATATAGTAGCCCAGTGTCTGAGAGTCTGTAACGCTGAAATGCTGGCTGTTCCCTCTGGGCGGTGCTGTTGCTGAAATGCTGGCTGTTCCCTGTGGTGGCCCATGCTGGAGGCTTGCTCCCCCACGACAGCCTGGCTGAGCGGTGCAGAAGTCAGCCGAGCACCACGGCGGGAGGGGAAGGGGGACGGGGCAGTGACGTGCGGCGTGACAGTGGCTCCAGGCCCCGCACCCTAGCCGTGAATGTCACCGCCCCTCCCCCCTTCACCTCCCGCCATGGCACTTGGCTAACTTCTGTGCTGCTCAGCCAGTCCGCCACGTGGAAGCAGGCGGCACAAGCGACCGTTTGGGATCCGCGCCCCCCATGCACCCCCCAAACGGCCATTTGGGCTCCGCAGTCCCCCAAGTGAGAGGCAGGAAGGGGAGGAGAAGTGAAAGAGTGAGACAGAGAGAAAGAGGCAGGAGGCGGAGGAGAGCTGAGAGAGAGACAGAGACAGAGACAGAGCGAGAGACCAGAGGCTCAGGAGAGAAGACCAATGTGGAGGAGAGACCTGAAAATCCCGTCTTATGACGGGCTAATTGGCCTGTTTCAAAATAATTCCCTAGTGTAGATCAGGGCTTCGAGATATATACCTGAAATTCTGACTTTCTATGCTCAGTGTCTTCCCTATGAGTCAGTACTGAATCAAACCCCAATCAGAGTATATGAATGATGGGGCAACCATCATTTGGGGGTCATGTCAAACTATATTCCTGACCCTTGTGGTCATTAAAGACCCACGCAGACAGGGAACTAGGCCCTGAGTACTATTCAGATTCCAATCTGGTAATGACGATCTCTTCTAATACTCAGAAATGTGGTCTGGATGTTTAAGCACAAGCCAAGGAAACAGGAAGGCCTGAATTTTAATCCTCTTTCTGTATGAGACAAGTCTCTGTGCCTTAGTTTCCATGGCTGTAAAATAGGAAAGACTTACCCCATGGAGGCATTTCTGTGAACTAACTAGATAATAGTGTTTGCAAAGAGCTTTGAACATGCAAAACTCTACACAAGTGCTAAGGAGATGAGAGTGTTCTCCCCTTCATGTATGATATCATGTCTCTATTTGTACTGCACAGTTTGGGGGCAATCCATACATATTCTCCCTGTAGTTTTAATTGGATGATTTTTTCCTTCGCTTCCTGTCCTAAGTGGGTCAGTTTTCAAACTCAGAAGTAGCCACATTTCAGTGAAGCAATTCCTATATGAGTAGTGTGTAAAAATGGTTTGGGGAGATTTCGGAGCAAAAGGCAGGTTGTGGTGCCAGTTTATGTAAGGCTTTTGACTGGGGGGCAAGGTATTGCAGGGAGAAAGAAGAGCAACACAGCGACACATTCTCACCCCTCTTGGTTTGGCGGCTTAGTCATCTGTTCAATTTGCCATAACCAGCTCTCTGGAAAAATGCTTCTTGTTGCGATCTCGTCATTTGGTAGGAAATCATCATCATCGATGAAGTCACCTGGGAAATCAAAACAGACTGTCAGCTCAGCTCTCTTGGCTTAATTGCCGAGTTTGGCAAGCTCCAAGTTCGCCGTGAAGACGCTTCTGTTATGACACATCACAGTGTGGAAGCAGAGTCTATGTTCTGGTGATGTAGCATGGGCGGACTGATGGATAGGGAAGCCACCAACCTCTCTTCTTCCCTATACTTGGCTGCCTGTTTCCACGCAGGCTCTCAGAGCAGAAGGCCCATCTTGTGGCTGGTTTTCCCCTCGGGC